CAGCCAGCCTTCCTGTGGTTCTGGATGATGTCCGTTCCGTCTTTTAGGTGTAATTTCAATTGGTTGTTCGAGGCAGCAATCTCCGGCGTTAACCCATGCTTCCATCTTGGTTTCTCCTCGTAATTTTTTTTTTTTTTAAGTTGAGGAGTTTATTAGGGAAGTATCAGAGGCAAACACTGCAAGTGACAGAAAGAAAAATCTGAAAATGTCCCTTCAAGCCAAGTGGAGACCTGGTCTTGACTCCAGGACAAAAAACTGGTAGATTAGCAACAACATTCTCTGGCAGCCACCTTGCCAGGGCATGAGCCTCTCAACCAGGACTGTCTGCTACCTCCCAACAAAGGTAGGGAGGAGAAAAGACTGTTTATAGAATCAATGCAGAGGCAATGAGAACTGTAAGGAAAATCTGAGAGAGAGAGAGAGAGAGAGAGAGATAGATAGTTATGGGGAGGACCTTAATAAAGAGTCCCAGGCTTTTGGCTCTGAGTGCCTCAAATACATTGACAAGTAGTTTTACAAAATGTTACTGAAAAGGTAAAATGCCTAATGTTTTCAAGAGTTCCCCTGGACTTCTCCCCACATGCCATATCACACTGCCAGATGAACATGGCAGAGCCCAAAGGCCACATTTTTGAAGAAAGAAAAACAAGAATAAGCCCTGTTGCTCTTTAAGGAGAGAGAAGTGGAAGGCTGCTGGGACCTTTCCCACATAGGCCTGTGTTCTGTAAAGCAACTTCCTTCCCAGCAGCAGTCTGGCACAGTCCTAGGTGAGGGTCTCACCTTTTGTCACCCTTGCTTCAATGTACTCTATTTTCCATTCAAGGGCTGTCAATTTCTCATTTAGTGTTGCAAGTCTTGAACGACAAGACATATCGAACGAGTTGAGAAAGTCCACGATTTTCTTGATGCTGCTGGTGATGATTTCAATGTACTCCCGGTTCTCCCAGTCCTGGTGAATTTCCCACTGCACAGGATCCTCTTGTCCCGCCATGGCCGCCACCTAAGGCCAGTTGTAATTTTTTTTAAAATATATTTTTATTGATTTCAGAGAGTAAGGGAGAGGAAGAGAGAGAGAAAAAAACATCAACAATGAGAGAGAATCATTGATCGGCTGCCTCCTGCACACCCCACACAGGGTATTGAGCCTGCAACCCAGGCATGTGCCTTTGACTAGAGTCGAACCCAGGACCCTTCAGTCCATAGGCTGATGCTCTATCCCAGCGGTTCTCAACCTGTGGGTCGCGACCCCTTTGGCGGTCGAACGACCCTTTCACAGGGGTCGCCTAAGACCATCCTGTATGTCAGATATTTACATTACGATTCATAACAGTAGCAACATTACAGTTATGAAGTAGCAACGAAAATAATGTTATGGTTGGGTCACAACATGAGGAACTGTATTTAAAGGGCCAGAAGGTTGAGAACCACTGTTCTATCCACTGAGCCAAATGGGCTAGGGCAGTTCAGTTGTAATTTTGATGTGGTTGTGAAAGGATTTGAGTACCTATGCTACCATATTGACCTGAAGTTTTCTGCTGGGGTTTTTAAAGCACTTGCAGCAAATGGATGGTTAGTGATATTTTCATGAAAGCATCTTGGAAATGGTTAGGTGTCTTAGACAAAAATAACTTAACTATAAATTCATTATCAGTGAAAGTAGTTGCTTCCAAATACACACTGTCTCTGTGAGTTGTGGAGAGTGCCTGGTCTCCTTAGGTGGTTTCTTTGTTTACCCCATAGCATTTCAGAGACCTGCAGTGTGCTGGTATGGTACACTGCACATGTGCACAGTATTGGAGGGGAGAGTCAGAGAGCCCGAACTTGGGGAGGCAGTTCCACACTTGGCTGGTTGTATTTCAGACATTATTCCTAATATGGCAGGTTGCTATAATACATAGGCCCCAACCTGGCCAGCTTCCCAGACAACACAAGTGTGAAGACACACTGCGTTTACCTGGACTACCACTGCTTCACATGAACTTGCTTTTACAAAAGGACATGGAGGCCTGTAGTTTTCATCAGTGATCTTTCATCCCCTTCACTTTCTTACTCAGCCCCCCTTGCCCAAGAGCCTCTGTCCCACTGCTGCCAAGGCACCCGCCCAGTGGCTGGTTTACACTGCGTGAGGCAGCCACTTTCTGTCTGACTTCACAGAGTGGTTTCTCTGTTTCTTATAGTCTGTCGTCAAGGTTCAGTGGCCAGGGAGAGAAAGAAAGGAACTCTCTCAATCCCAGCAGGCAGGGACCAGCTAATGTTTCTTTTTGTCCCCTCCTAAATAAAGCCATACTTGTGTGTGCCTACAGGGATGGGCAAAAGTAGGTAAGAACTCTGTGCCAAAATGTGCTTGAATATAGCAAATAGACTACAAGAATGTGTAAATACTGAAGGCCAGCAATTTGAGCACTTGCAAGATTGTACCTAAGTGCACTGTGCCATTGTGACATTCTTTTGAGTTAATAAAGCTATTGTAATAATCACAACCTGTATATCTTTTTCCATATGAACAACTGTAAACCTACTTTTGCCTACCCCTGTACATTCTAGAAGTCAGATATTTCTAACTATGGGAGTAGCCTGAACAAGATGTAAATAAAAGCAGACTAACAGTTCAGAATATGTGACCAGTCTATAAGCAAGTGAGCAGGCCAGATCTCGGGCCTCTCTCCACTCTGCTTAGGACACTGTTCTTTCCATCTTTATTTGTTTCCCTGGGCAGAAACACCTTCTTCTCATGGGGGAAAAAAAAGCAGTTGGGACATTGTCTCATTCATTTCCTATTAAATGTAGGCTCAGGTTCAGAAGACGAAAGACCTGCTCAATAACGTGGCCTCTGACGAAGCTAATTTAGAAGCCAAAATTGAAAAGAGGAAATTAGAACTGGAAAGAAACCGGAAGCGACTTCAGACTCTGCAGAGTGTCAGGTAGATATGAACACCCAAAGCATGAGTGGAAAGCTGTCTTTGAAAGTGCAAACAGATTGAGAGAATGTATTGTCAGTGATATTAACCCTTCAGGCAGTGGAAGAAGCCTTGAATAAGGCTATCTCTACTACAGAATGTACGTGTGTTGCTTGTTCAAACAAGCACACCTCTAAACTCATTCTCTTTACTGCTTTCAGTATGTCTGGAAAACTGCTTAATTCTTGAACTTCCATTCAGTTTTTATAGCTTCGTGGAATTTAAGGTGAAGTAAGTAAATCCAGATGGTAAAAGTTATACAAGACTTCGTCTTCTAAGACCTGTGCCTTGCCACAAATTAGGTGGAAACAAGCATACTTTCATTTCTTGGTTTAGGTAGACTTAGACTTTTATTTCCTCACCAGTAAATTCACCTTTCTTCTGACTTTCCCTCACTGAACGTATGTTTTCCAGGGAATATAGATAGATGATAGTGGTGCAAAACACCTTCTAAGTCATTGGAGCCTTTCAAGCATGTTCTACATATTTTTTGGAATCTCTCTTTCTCTCTCATTTCCTTCCCTCCCCCCTCTCATTTTGTACCCTCCTTCCCTTGCTGTTATTTTTGTTGTTGTTCTTTCTCCCATGTCACTACTCTTTCTCCCTTTTTAGTGTCCTTTTGTTTTTCTTTCTTTACTCCTTCCCCTGTTTAGCAGTACCTGCTCTAAATGTGTCTTGCTCTTTTGAGATACTGGTGACTGGACCAGTCTAGCTACTGTCCTACATCTGTGGGGAGGCAGCACCTGGGGACAGCAGCCAGTTATTCAGGGAACATCAAAGGCTTCCTCCCAGCCCAGGGACCTCGCCTGTCCTGCCTCTAGAATCAGGGCCACCAGATAGACTTGTCTCATTAAAAAGTTCTGCCTTTCAAGCGTCAGTTCATTTTTGTTAAGCCTCAAATCCTTTTAATAGAAAGGTGTCTGTTTTGCTTTAGTACAAAAGGTTATAAAAATTGTTTTTTAGTTTATCTGTTTATATTTTTAAAAGAACAGATTTTCCCTTTAATAAGAAAAACGTAATTTAGCAAACCAGTTGAAATAGCTTTTTATGTTATGGTTTTAGTTTGCAATTTTATATTGTTTAAAAACTTTAATTTATAGCCACCTACATTTCCCTTTTTAGGTTAAATTTTGGCACAGCAAAGTATTATGCCCAACTTAGATAATGCACATATTTAATTTATTGATTTTGACATATGTGTATGGTATATGCTAATTTTTAAACTGTTTATTGAAATCTATGGCATATCAAGCGAGAAAAAAGACTGCAGAGCTTCATTTAAGATAGCAGTTTTTAACTTCATCTCATCGCACAAGTAAACTAATTACTGAAATTCTGTGGCACACCAAAAATATATTTTTTGCCAATCTGACAAAAAAAAATAGGTATAATTTTGATTCATTCATACCAGATAGCTCTTATTGTGTTGGCTGTTGTCAATTTTCTTTTATTTGACAATCTAAGGGAAAAGAGGTCAGTGCCTCTGATTAAATAGTCAAGTATTGAATGTTTTAAAAATTCTTGTGGCATAACAGTGTTGAAATCGCTGATTTAAGGTAATAAACTTAATGTTTATTAAAAAATGTGTCAACGTAAGAATTTTTTTTTAATATATTTTATTGATTTTTTACAGAGAGAAAGGGAGAGGGATAGAGAGTTAGAAACATCGATGAGAAAGAAACATCGATCAGCTGCCTCCTGCACACCCCTCACTGGGGATATGCCCCAACCAAGGTACATGCCCTTGACCGGAATCAAACCTGGGACCCTTGAGTCCGCAGGCCGACGCTCTATCCACTGAGCCAAACCGGTTCGGCAACGTAAGAATTTTTGTGAGTTTATTTGAGCCAGAGTGTCCACAAATGCCAGGAAGTAGAATCTCAACAGATTGAGATAATGCTCCAGAGAAAGGCAGTTTTGCACCTTGTTTTATGCATTACAATCAAAAGAGGAGACGTATGTGGGTGACATGAGGTCCATTGGTGATAGATTAGGGAGGCAAGAGAAAGGCAAAGTGGGAAAACCTCTGGGATTGAATAGAAAGTAAAACGATAGACACTCACTTCTTTTACTTAGGTGGGTGCAGGATAGTTAGCAGTCAACAATTAATTCAACAATGAGGGGATTTATGGTCTCCGCAGCGTGTACCTGTGCTTTGAAGGGTCTGGAAAAAGGAAAATTACTTTGACATTCCAACAATATGTTATCATAGATGCAAAAAGACAGTAGACCGGCTCAGTTAAGGTAAAGATTAACCTTTGTCAGGGAAGATACTGGCCACCATTAATTGCTTTTAGTTGAAAAATTTTAATTTCAGACCCTGCTTTGTGGTTATTTTAGGAGTTTGCAAGGCTGCCACACAGGCCTTCCCTGAACTAATTAGGTTAGCATGTGCCCTTTTTTATCCATCAGTGCATTCCTATATGTATCTACTAGAGGGCTGGTGCACAAATTCGTGCATGGGTAGGGTCCCTTGGCCTGGCCGGCAATTGAGGCCCATCAGGGGGGCTGGCCAGCAGGGGGGAGGGACCGTGGGAGTTTGGCTGGCCGGTCCCCCAATTGGGACCAATGGAGGGGCTGGATGAGGGGGAGGGACCTCAGGAAGTTGGCCAGCTGGTGGGGAAGGGGGCGGGGCCGCAGGAGATTGGTTGTGGGAGCGCACTCACCATCAGGGGGCAGCTCCTGCATTGAGCGTCTGCCCCTTGGTGGTCAGTATGTGTCAAAACAACTGGTTGACTGGTCGTTCTGGTTGTTTGGTTTTAAGGGTCATTTAGGCTTTTATATATATAGATGTATAGAAAAGTCTGGAAGAATGTATAGCAAATATTAAGTGCTTATACCTAGTGATGGGATTATGAGTAATTTTTACTTTATTTATACTTATAGCATTATTTTAAGTTTTTATAAAAATCACATCTTTTTTTGATGAAAAAAATATGTACATTTTTGGGGGGAGGGAAGAGAAAAGGGGAAATTAGCTTCAAGCTGTTGGAGAGCTGTGAAGCATTTCATCCAGTTAATTCAAGGCTTTTTAAAGAAAGCCATGACAGAATATGAAACTCTGAATACCAATTTCAAATTACTGTATATCGATTAATCTTTCACTTTTTATTTAATTTGATTATTCTAGGCCAGCCTTTATGGATGAATATGAGAAGATTGAGGAAGAATTGCAAAAGCAGTATGACATTTATCTGGAGAAATTTCGAAATCTAGCTTACCTGGAACAGCAACTCGAAGATCATCATAGGATGGAGCAAGAGAGGTTTGAGGTAAGTGCTTAGCCCATTCTTCTGCACAGACCATTCTTTCTGGTGTGTTACTTTGTACTTGTTGAAAAATCATGTAAATATCATTGTGAAAAAAATGCCAGTGAATGTTTGATATTAGTTTATTAAACTAATCTTTGATATTAGTTTATCATCAGGGTTTGGTCAATTAGGATTGCAGACAGGGCTAGCATGTGACCTGTGCAGTCACATAAGACAGCTCAGAAGAGCCTGTGCTTGCTTGAATGCTCTGCTGTTGCCATCTTGAATAAATTTTTTTAACAGCATTCTTCTTTTTTTTAGTTGATTTCAAAGAGGAAGGGAGAAGGAGAAAGAAATAGAAACATCAGTGATGTGAGAGAATTATTGATTGGCTGCCTACTGCGTGCCCCCTGTTGGGGATCGCGATTGCAACCCGGGCATGGGCCCTGACCGGGAATCAAACCGTGACCTCCTCTTTCATAGGTTGACGCTCAACTATTGAGCTGCACTGGCCAGGCTCCTTAATAATTTTTAAGTACATTTTATTTTGCACTGAGTTCCACAAATTATGTAACTTCTCTTACTTAAAGGTTTTCAAGCCCTGGTTAATTGAATCACCCGAAGTAGCTTATCAAAGACTGCTTTATACAGAGAAATCACAGTTGATTATTCTATGTCAGGAGCCTTTCATCCCAGTATTTAAGGCCATTTAGGAAGGAGTATTTCAAATCCTCCTTCAGCATGTATTAATAAATACGGAATTCAGAGCAAAGGAAGTTGGACTAAGTTGCTCTCCCTTTTTTTAATATCCTTAGGGATATTTCTGTTTAACACAAGAATAGTCATTTAGAATCTATGTTCATGCTAAAACTAGTCTACAATCTCCCTTTCTTACATTGTCCCTGACAGCTTTTGGTATAAGGTTATGCTAATCTTCTTATAAACCTGGGTGTTTGAATTAGTTGGAACTATTTTGCTCTCTAGGAGGGCTGGCTGGGAGTAACTACCACATTCACATGGATATGTTTATTTTGACAAGGACCCTATTGCTGACATTACTGTATGGCAGAGGCAGGCAGTGGAGAGAGCCTGGAGTCCAGGATATTTTAAACATCGATGCCTGGGAAAGAACAATAAAGGCCATGAAAATAAACTGACCATTTTGTACTATCTCCTGGGGCCACCCCTGGGTTCAGAGAGTGTATTGAAGAACATGCTTCAGGCTGCATGTTCTTCCTTCAACAAGTACTTACCCTTTTTTTCTCCTATGGTCACATCTACTCTCTGTCCTTTTAATACCTGGCCCTCAAAATATCTTATGCATGAAATGCAGTGCTTTTTAAAAAAACGTTTATAGCATCAACAAAATTTTAAAGGCTAATTTCCTCTCCCATTATTGTTTTGACAATAATCAGGGCCACATTTGCGACCTAACTGAAATACTAGCTTGCTTTTAATCCTCTAGGAATTAAAACCAGTATTTTATTTCTTTTCCCATCCTGATCAATCCCACCATTTACCGTCTTTCAGGGCTTGAATTGTGCAGGACAGAAAAACAATAAAATTATGCTTTACTCTTCCTAGAGTAAGAGGCCTGTGGTGCCCATATATCTATGCAGGCGCACATGATGGGTATTTTATTGTGTCATTCAGTTTTCTTCAGAGTTATTGAGGTGTAGTGGGAGGAGCACTGGTTTGGGGACCAGTCAGGCCCATTTTAGGTCCATTGTGACCTGTCCGGGAGCCTCCCTTTCCATAGGGCTGCTGGGTGATTATAGAGAGAAAGGGTATCAGGTCTCCCAACTGTAGTAGTATCTCAGGCAGTGTTAGTTCTCTTCCCCTTCTTTTTTATTTTGTTTTTTATTTTGTTAATCCTTATCCGAGGACATTTTTCCATTGATTTTTAGAGAGGCAGAGAGAGAAAAACATCGATGTGAAAGAGACACATCAATTTGTTGCCTCCCACATGCAACCTGACCAGGGCCATGGATCAAGCCTGCAACCTAAGTTACATGGTGTGCCCTTGCCCAGAATCGAATTCAGGACCCCTCAGTCTGCAAGCCCATGCTCTATCAACCGAGCCAAACTGGCTAGGGCTCTTCCCCTTCTTTTGGCTTAGATTTTTTTCTGGTTCTGTATCACAAACTTAGCAGTATTTACTCGAATGGTAAAAAATAAAATGTCCAAAAAGATCCTCTCTTCTGTATCTTGTTTTTTCTGTTCCATAGGAAGCCGAAAATACTCTCCGCCTGATGCAGAACAAGCTGAAGGAAGAAGAAAAGCGACTACTCAAGAGTGGAAGTAAGTCTATACTTTTTTGTTTATTCTGGAGTAGCATTTTTAGCATTGAAAAATTTATATGTATATTTTATTTCTTTTCAAAAGGCAATTTTCTCACAATTTTTATATCTGGTACCATTTTATTTCAGTCAAGAGCTCAAGAAACTGGTTTAAATTACATAACATTTAAAGCACATTGGTTTTTTATGCCAACTAAAATAGTGTTTTCCTCTTTTTAAACGATAGTTTAAATATATATAATATATAATTATAAAAGAAAAATTTGTCGTGGAGGTCTGTAGAGTTCCTTATTTTAGGGCAGATTGTTGGAAAACAAGCAACATAATGAAGTGTAAATGAATAGATCACTTGCTTAACCCCCCATCCCACACACCCATCGTTAGCAGAGCTATCATCTATAGAGAAATAGGAGTTACCTCTATAGAAGATCTAGATTCTGGGAAGGAATGTCCTCCATGGCTGGTTAGCATAGTTCACCCATGAACTAACTTCACCAAGGTGTCAGGTCAGCCTCGGGAGCTATAGCAGCACAT